TTTGATAATACCAAAAAATTGTTGTGAAAATTGTATAAGCAATGTATTTCTTGCCATGTTTCCCTCCTGGAAAACAAACTTCTTTTATAATGAAGTTTACTGAGGTGTCTGTATACTGGGATTTTTTTGCTTCGTTATCCTGAAAATTTAGATGAAGTGAGTGACTGTTATCCTTTTGTTCTTTTTACAGTATGGCATAAGTTGAAGGCAGTAAAAGCAAAGGAGCGGTGGCTCCCTGAACAAGAGGCAAGTCATTTGCGTGGTTTTCATAATTTACAACAACCTGTACGAGGTGGTACACAGTACATGAATGTTGTTATCAGTGCAAATTCTTAGTTTCCGCGCTTTGCAGAGCTTAATAGCATTCAAGACAGTGTGGAGGAGAGGAATGAAAACTTCGTTCTCGCGTTCAATTCAGCTTAATGTCGCCCTACGCTTGAAAATAACAGAATCTTACTTCGCAGGGGCGGATCCAGGATTTTTTTTAGGAGGGGGTGCACTCGTCTCTTGCTCTACTTCAACACCAATAAACCACATAGTTTTTTTTTTTGCAGAATACCGCTAATTGTATTAGAAAACCGCAGGTCACCTCGGGGGGGGAGGGGGGTTGCGCTCCCCCTGCACCCTCCCCCTAGATCCGCCCCTGCTTCGCCTTCCCTTTCTCTTAATATCACTGCTTAATCTTTTAAAATGGTTATGAGAGTAAGGAAATATTCCCAAAAGAGGGTAATTCCTTGATTACTGGGTAATTGTAAGGAGAACAAATAGTGTGGAGTATGTGCTTTTGAAGCAAAGGTGTAAAGGTTTAAAGGTCACAGTATAATTAGAATTGAAGTTAGCTAAACGTACATAAGGGTATTTCTTAAAATCATAGCGCTACGGCTAATCGTTCATCGAGTTTTCCTGCACTTTGTGCCATTTTAATTTAGAGAACTTGCGTCGGCTAACTACCGTTAAAGATTGTCAAAATCTTCAAAGTGATTTTTATTCGAACTGAAGTTTAAGCCAATGACACTGTTTAACATCGTCGAGCGTTTGTTGTTCAGCATTTGTTGTGCAATATAGCTGCATGCAACATAAGTTAAACTGTTGTCATTATTGTTCGTTTGCAGGAAGAGTATGAAGATTCTCTTGGAAATGTTGTTAACAAGCGAACGTTTGAGGATCTCAGTCGTCAAGGTCTTTTGTGAAGACCGTAATTCTTGAAACAACCGCCCTCTGT